CTCTTTGTGGGCTCCAAAAGCTGGGCTTAGTCAGATGTTCCTCAGAGCTGCTGGGAAGGGGGGCCAGGGCGGGCGGGCTCCTCGCTCATGATAAGCTTTGCTATATATAAAACTGCGTGGCTGGCTGCTGATAGCGCTAATGAAACCCTCTGTTAACTCCTTCAGCCATCAGCAGCAGGTACAGCAGGTGCCCATGGCTCTCCCCAAGTCGTTTTGTTAATTGGGAGCAAGTTTTTAATTGCAGGCACTCAGCCCTGCATTGCAGAACTGCTGCTGCTGCTGCAACCCCCAATGGCAGGGATGAGGAAATGGTGAAATGGCCTGAAAAAAGGGAATAAGTCCAAGCCCAGCTGCAGGGGAGAAGTAAAAAAAAAACCCACAAACTGAAAAGAGTCAGTTCTTCCTGCAAAAATGTCATACAACAGAGATTCACCTCAGGGGATTGATTACATGAAATACGGGGATTTAAATACTGCAGGCAGCTAATTCAGGTGTTCCTGGAGCTGGAGAAACGTTCTTTAGCTGCAGGAATCCTTCTGGAGGAGGTTTTGTTTTGCTTGGGAGCAGCTGGCTGAGAATGGCACCTGTGTGTGGAGTCACCTGCTGGCAGCTGGCGTGTGGCACCGAGCATGGACGGGGGGCAAGGTGAGCTTAGGGGGGTGGGACACTGGAAGGGGCCCTGGTGCAGGGGTGGTGGCATCCAGCTCTGGGGTCTGCTGTCCTGCTTCCCAGCTTGTGGCTGCTCTGCTCTGCCTGAAGCTGTTGTGAGGTGGGATTTGGTCTGAACTGCCCATCCAGATCTCCAGTTCTGCAGCATCCCTGGCACGGGCTGCCCTCTGCCCCCTCACACATCATCTCCTGCCCCTCACAGCCTCCCAAAGGCAGGGGTGGCTCCAGCCTCTTCCCAGATCAGCACTGCAGAGCCACCCCAGCTGCAGAACACCCAACTCCATCTGAAAGCCACTCTGTCCTTCCCTTGTCCCAGCCCGTGTCCCATCCCTGCAGCCACGTCACCACACAGCTCTGACAGCTTTGGCTGCCCCTTCCCTTCTCTCTCCAGGAGCCTTTCCATCCCTTTGCTGAGCAGAGCAAATCCAGCACTTTTCCATCAGAGCTGGCATTTCAGAGCCAGGCTGTCGCTGCAGTGAGGAGCTGTCCCCTCAGAGCTGTGCTTTGCTGCTGAGGCACAACTGGGCACTGCAGCAAAGACACCAGGAAATTCTCTCTGGCCCTGAAAAGAGAAGAATCAGCTTCTCATGAATTCTGTGGTTTCTGAAAATACTTCTGGGTGTGTGGGGTTGGTGGTGCTGTGCAGCTGCACCTCACGAGGGGCCGAGCGTGGTTGGGTCTGTGTGTCCCTGAGGGGACATTCTTGCTGTGAAGGTGTTTGCAGGGGTCCCAGGACCAGGGAAGAGACGAGGATCTGACTCCATGTTTCAGAAGGTTGGTTTATTATTTTATGATGTACATATATTATATTAAAATTAAATTATATATTAAAACTCTACTAAAATAATAGAATATAAGATTTCATCAGAAGGCTGGCAAGCAAGAAAAAGAATAGAATGAATAACAAAAGCTTGTGTCTTGGACAGAGAGTCTGAGCCAGCTGGCTGTGATTGGCCATTAATTAGAAACAACCACATAAGACCAATCCCAGATGCACCTGTTGCATCCCACAGCAGCAGATAACCATTGTTTGCATTTGTTCTTGAGGCCTCTCAGCTTCTCAGGAGGAAAAATCCTAAGGAAAGGATTTTCCATAAAACGTGTCTGTGACACCTGCTGCTGTGAGCGCTGAAGGTGGGTGGAGGAACGCATGGAAAAGTGCTGGATTTGCTCTGCTCAGCAGCAAAGGGATGGAAAGGCTCCTGAGGGAGCAGGGAATGGGCAGCCAGAGCTGCCAGAGCTGTGTGGTGACGTGGCTGCAGGGATGGGACACGGGCTGGGACAAGGGAAGGACAGAGTGGCTTTCAGATGGAGTTGAGTGTTTTGGAGCTGGGGTGGCTCTGCAGTGCTGATCTGGGAAGAGGCTGGAGCCAGCCCTGCCTTTGGGAGGCTGTGAGGGGCAGGAGATGATGTGTGAGGGGGCAGAGGGCAGCCCGTGCCAGGGATGCTGCAGAACTGGAGATTTGCAGAGAATTGGAGATTTGGAGACTCCAAAATTGGAGATTTGGATGAGCAGTTCAGACCAGATCACCTGGAATGGGACAGGTCCAGCCTGTGGTGAGGGATTGGCCTTGGGGACTTGTCAAGAACCTTTTCCAAATGAGCATTTTACAGCTCTGTTGGTTTTATTTAGAATTAATCCCCTTGCACTTGTGTAAGCACCTAAATAAAACATGACTCATTTAATTAATTACACTGAAATCATGGGACTGCACAACTTCACTTTAGGTAGGAGTTATTTTATCTCCTTTAATGATTATAGCCTCACTTCATGACACAAGACAAATTAACCTTTGAAAAATAGATGGTAAGGGGACTTTAACCTACTTTTTTGCGTTTGGGGTTGTGTTTTTCTATATATAACAGAAGGAACTGGAAATTTGTTGAGATTTTTGGCAATATTTAAACAATTTTCTATACATCAAGTAGGAAATAGTGGAACAGTGTCCTCACTGTGTTGACTTTGGAATCATTTGATGAATGTATGACCACTTCAGAAATGCACCTGCTGAGTTTTGCAGGATATTTCCTGCAAAAGCTGGTCAGGAGAGTGCAAAAAACTGGCTAAAGAATTCTTCAAAAAGTGTTGGAGGGTAAATGTACATCTGTGGGACAATGCATTAGTCATCCTGACCTCTTTTATTGCAGCATGAAAACAGCTTTTAATTTGAGAACCTTGCTCATCTCTCTCTCTTTCTGAAGCAATTCCTTTAATTTTCTTGTGTGCACTTTTCCTAACGTGGTCACCTTGTGCTGGACACTGGGGAGGCCAACCTGGAATTCTGGGGGGCAGTTTGGGCCCAGTCTGGTGACAAGAAGGACATTGAGCACATGCAGGGAAGGGAATGGAGCTGGGCAGGGGCTGCAGAATCCCTGAGGAGCTGG